GTGGCAGAAAAGGGCCACAGGAGAGTTCCACAGGAGGGACGGGGAGGGGAGCCTGAGGACGCCCCTTCTGCCAGCCGCTTCGCTGGATATTCCCTCGCGATATACTGCAGAATCGTGATCTCGCAGTAGTGCAGGCTACATGATTGGTCTGGACGGCCACGATCCCTTTCGCACAGGACGCTAAGGTGCAGATGGCCGTGCTCTCATCCGGGTCCCGTATAACCTCTTGCTCCTCGACCCGCGGCTTCAACCCTCGCTGCTTTAAGGGTGCACTGCTGGGGCATTTCGGTATCAGCGCAGCCATCATTCGAAGGACAGTGGTCTCTCTGATGTGGTTCAGACTGGCCGTGTCACGCCACATGTCCTGCAGTGCCATTTTTGGGCTTCATGAGAAGTCAGACGCACGGTTGGAAGAAACCGCAATATGTTGAAAGACTAGGGGGACGAGGAGGAGAGACGATGGGGGGGGGGTCAGGGAGCGACTTGAAAGAAAACGGGGGGCCCAGGGAGCCTGGGATAATTCCCTGCCCCGGCTGCCCCGGCCCTGGCCAGAGGGAGGGAGGGGCGGAGGGATGGGTTGAGGGAGGAGAGGAGGAGGAGGAGGAGGAGGAGGAGGAGGAGGAGGAGGAGGAGGAGGAGGAGGAGGGAGCGATAGGGGGTTAGGGGAGTGAGGATGGGCGACGAGTTAGGCGTGCTTCGTGCCATATCTTACGTCCTACCTCTCCCACCCATCCCGCCCCGTAGCGGACCCACCCCTAAAATGTTCTCATCTATTATTCTGAATCAGGAAGGATAGCTGTGCACAGTAGGGGAGGAGAGGAGGAGGAGGAGGAGGAGGAGGAGGAGGAGGAGGAGGAGGAGGAGGAGGAGGGGAGTGATAGGAGGAGAGGGGAGTGGGGAGGAGAGACGAGCTGAATGCGCTTCATGCCATATCTTACGTCCTGCACCTCCCGCACATCCCATCCCGTAGCGGAACCGGCACCCCCAAAATGACCCTATCGTATTATGCGCAATTAGATAGGGTAGTTGTGCACAGCAGGGGAGGAGGAGGAGGAGGAGGAGGAGGAGGAGGAGGAGGAGGAGGAGGAGGAGCAGGAGGAGCAGGAGAGGAGGAGGAGGAGGAGGAAGAGAGAGGAGGAGGAGGAGGAGGAGGAGGAGGAGGAAGAAGAGGGTGGTTGATGAGCAGAAAGAGTGGCGGGAGGAAGAGGAGGATGAGGAGGAAGGAGACGGAGGAGGAGGAGGAGGGGGGGGGAGGAGGAGGAGGAGGAGGAGGAGGAGGAGGAGGAGGAGGAGGAGGAGGAGGAGGAGGAGGAGGAGGAGGATTGGAGACGGATGATGATGTTGATGTTGAGTTCACCTGCTAAAGCAAATGATTGCTGATCCTTCCCCTTGGTGAACCTTGTGTGTTTCAATTCAAATGCCCCTCCCAGGGCTCGCACCCTGCTTGTTTTATCCGGGGAAGTCTTGAGGCTCCGACTGCGCCCCCTGGCCCCCGAATTACAACAGCAACGGTTTCCGCCTGATACTTCTGACAATGTATTCAAACTTCGCGTTCTCGTGCGGGGCATCCTCGCACTTTGCCCAGGAACCGCACTCTCTCGTGGGATTTCTTCGCAGATTATTGAATTGCCGCGCCCTCGCCGCTTAGGAATCAAGCTCTCGCTTCGAACTTCCTCACGACCTACGTGGGAATGGCGCTATCGCTCGAGACTTCCTCGCGGTTCATGCAGGACTGACGCTTCAGTAGCCCGCCCGCTCGAGCTAGCCGTTTAGGCCCGCCCGCTCGACCCGCCTGTTGGGGTCCGCGTGCCAGACCCGCCATGTCTGGTTCTGCTGCTTGATTTCCTGCTCCTGACCCCCTGACCCCCCTCCTGCAAGTCTCCCTCGTGCTCCATCCCTCTTCCTCCCCCTTGTCCCTCCCCTCCTCCCTCCCACCCCTGTTATAGGGGCTATGCCACCTACGCGTGGGAGGTAAGGACGAATACCCCCAGGTACGATCGAAAACAAAGAGGACGGAGATCGAGGGCTTGGAATCTTCATGTTGAGTGGCACGCGAGCGCATAAGACCGAACAGCATTAAGATGAATGCTGACGTTGACGATCACGGTCGTGAGGAGGAGAGGCCGGGGAGGTGATCGGGGGGGCGACAGCGACGATGAAACAGTCGGGCCCAGAAGTGTGGCCCGCGCTCCGGCGAGAGCGTCATTTTAAACCACGCGGGGGAAGCGCTGATCCTGAAACCAGGCCATCACTTCAGCGGGACCACAGTTTTGACATGTCAGCCAGCATGAGCCCCAAACAGTGTGTTCCAGCATGGTGTGAACGCTTTAGTTACGCATGGTGACAATCAATCTACGTGGTGTAATTGATTTTGCATTTGAGTTGACGCATTCCATGCTCTTGCAAACATCCCACCCTCCCACCCGCAATTTGGTCTGCAAAACCCATGCGGCGGCGATTGCGATGTGTGCTCGGCGTTGGCTGGTGCGTCTCTGCGGCCGCGCTAACCCGCGCATGCTCGCACGCACAGCGGCCAGCTAGTTTGGCGCAACCGGCGCGGCCGCGGTGGCGCTGACCGCTGGGTCTTTCCCAGCGGGCACCTCAGCGCGAGTCGGTGACTTGGGCGCGCGTGGTATTATGGCGACGCCGAGCAAGGTAGACGCGATTATGAGGGTAGCGATGATGGTGACGATGGTGGCGATGACGACGGCAACGCCGATGCTGGCGCCGATGTTGATCGCGCCCGCTGATAACGATGACGATGTCCTCGCGTCGGCGATGAAGGTTTTTGAAGGAGTTCGACATGCGCGCGCGGCCGACGCGCGCGAGTGGCCCGCGTGATATTATTTGGCACGGATCGTGCATCCCCCTTCTCCCCCCCCCCAGCAAGCGCGCAAGGGCGATCGAATGAGTTCGACATGCGGCGCGAGAGGCTCGCTTGGCAGAATATGATGAACATGTCGAAAGCCTATGGCTTCCTCAAGAATCAACAGAAACGCGAGCGCAGGGTTTTCGTTTTGAAAACTGATGCTGCAAAACCATGTGGTTTGAATTGTGTTCGGGGCGATCGTTTTTGAAACCTTCCACGAAATTGCTAGTGTTGGAAGGGTTTCGGCGTGCGCTCGCGGCGACAGCACGCGCGCAAAGGCGTTCTTGCGATTCCGACATGCGCCCACGATGGGCCCGTGTAGTAGCATTTCTTATATGTGGCCAACATTATTTTCCCAAGCTATCGCAAAGCGCGGGCGCAGGCTTCGGTTGAAAAACATTGTTGCGTAACCATGTGTTGCAATATTTGTTCGTGACTCTCGATCTTGAAATCCTCACGAAACCCTCGGTTTCGAAGGATATCGGCATGCGCGCTCGACGACGCGCGCGCGCGTACAGTTCGTTTCGCTGTTTGCACGGGATTTTTGTAAACGGATGGTTTTTGGTAAACGAGTGCTCGCGCGCATGATGTGATTTGGCAGATGAGGGGGGCGTGGGCGCGATAGTGGCCTGCTTGGGACGGTATGGATGCATAGTTCGGATGGACGATGGGACAGAGTCGCGCGTAAATTGCAATGCGAAAAAGTGCACCGTCAACGGGTGGGCGGGGGTGTAGATCCGAATGCTCTTTTCGAGTGGGGAGTATACGTGGTGCAACCTACCCTGGCGCGACCGGCGCGGCCGCGGTGTCGCTGACCGCTTCGGGCTCCCATGCGCGTCTCGTAGGTCGCGCTGGCGAGCGGGTGCTTCAGCGCGAGTCGGCGATTCGAGCGGTCGCGGTATCGCGGCGACGTCGACAACGGCAATAAACATAATAAGTTTAGCGATGTTGGTGACGACGATGACGATGACGACGGCGAGGCCAATGACGGTGCCGTTGCCGACCCCGCCGGCGACGATGATGGTGTCCACGCGTCGACGATGAAGGTTGTGAATGGATTTCGACGTGCGCGCGCAGCGAGGGGGCGCGAGTGCCCCGCGTTGAATTGTTTGACAGGAAAGGAGGAGGAGAAGGAGGAGGAGGAGGAGGAGGAGGAGGAGGAGAGGAAGGCCGCGCTCTCGTCCGGCGGCGACGGACGACGGACGACGGACGACGGACGACGGACGACGGACGACGGACGACGACGACGACGACGACGACGACGACGACGACGACGACGACGACGACAGCGACGACGACGACGACAACGACGACGACGACGACGACGACGACGACGACGACGTCGGCGCTCGAGTTCATGGGGGTTTCGAAAAGGCGTCTTGCAGAACGTCTGGGAGACTGGTGGGAGCTTTTCGGGGCCGACGTCTCGAAGGTTCCGTTCGGGCCCCTCGTTTGGGCACCCATCCTGCGAGCCTCTGAGGCCGCGTTTGGGGCGTTTTGGGCCGTCTTTTCGCCTTCCGGGGCTGTTTTGGGAACCTCTTAGAGGGCTCTGGGGTTGTCCTGGGGTTGGAGGCGTCCTGGGCCATCTTGGAGCGTCGGAAAGCAGGGGGGGCCAGAACGCCAAAATCCTTCAGAAACCGATGGGAAATCATTGAATGTACCACTGGTTGGGCCAGTTTGCAGGCCTCGTGGGCGGTCTGGAAACCGTCAAGGCGCGATGGACGGAGCGTTCGGCGACTCGGGGCCTTCGTGGAAGATCTTGAAGACCTTTTGGGGATAATTTTGGCGTTTGTTGGGTTTTGTTTGGGTTCTGGGACCCCCGGGGCGTCGTATCTGACCCCCACCCCCAGGACCCCTCTCGGGGCCTCTCCCGGGACCCCTCCCGGGACCCCCCCCCGGGCCCCCCTCTCGGGACCCATCCCCTTCCCAGCGGGAGAGGGATGAAAGGGAAAGAGTTTCCCTTCGACTCAATTACGACGTTGCTCAATTTCGTTTGGGCTGGCGCGCTGGAGCGCGCCGGAGGAGGAGGGCCGAGGGAAAAGGGGGAAGCGGCGACGGGCCCATGGAAACGGAGACGAATCGAATGGACAGGGTCGGCGGATTTTTCATATGTGCCCGATTCATCCCGGATCGAACTTGTCCCGACGTTGGCCCCGCCTGCTTGGAAGACGGACGCCAGGATCGAACAAATCAGGCCGGCACAGGTCTGGGCTTCGCCGCTGGTCATGGCGGCAGCGATGACGGCGCAGGCGCCGACGGTGACGGGGCTGCATCGCGCGGCGGTGGTTGTGCTGGCGGCGGCCGGCCAGCGATGCGGCCCGCTTTCCCGAGCGCCGACTCCACGGCTTCTCTGAGGGCCAGCCCGAGGCCGAGCTTTCTGTCTGTCTGGGCCCGAGGCTTCCCAGCGGGGCACACCTCGGCGACTCCGCTCTATAGTGGGCGGGCGCCGGCCGCCCCGTGCCCTCAGCCGGCTGACAAGACGAGGGCGAGGCCGTTGTGGTGAGCGCGGGAGGGGCGAGGCCAGGGCGGCGCCAGCCGCGTTCCAGGCCAGCTCGCTTCGCGCACGCGTGCGCTCCGGGCTGGTCTGGTGCATGGCTGTTGGGCGTCGCGTTATTGTGGGGGGCGATACATGGGGGGGGGTAGGGGGCAGCGAGGGCTGCAGAAAAGGGGCCCTAGAGGGCCCCTAGAGGGGCCGCGTAGGGCCCCAAAGAGGGCTTGTAGGGTCCGGCAAGTGCACCTCTCGCCCCCCCCATGTATCGCCCCTCGTTAAGCGACGTCCAACTGGCGTGCCCCAGAGAGGCTTGGACGCCCCCCGCTCCCCAAAGCTCCCAGGTGCATGCCAGGCCTCCCCCCCCCACGCCTTCCATGTCGGCCCACTCTATCGGTCTTCTGGCCTGCCGGCCGCCCGATGCGCGTCTGGTCATGCGTCATGGGCCTCGCGATGCTGGTGGTGGCGACGGGCGTCACAGGTTCGGTCTGGCTGGTGGGGCGGCTGGAGGGCGACATGCCGACATGGCAGATCAGCCTCATCTCGGGCCGGCCCGGGCTGCAGGGCAGCGGCCGTGATCTCTAAGAGCGACCTTGCGCCGGAGTGACGCTTGGTGCGGGCCCACGGGGTTTCCCTCTCGGCACTGGCTGGCGCGCTTTCAGTTGGTCACCCCGCGGGCCCCAAGAACCGCGCAGCAGAGGTCACTCTTCCCAGGGTCTCTAGGTCCTGGGGTTCCTCTCAGCATCCTCGGGCTTCTTGCAGAGACCTTATCCTCGCCCGTGGCCGAGTGGTGGTGGGGGCTCCGCCCGATCTGAACTCGCGCCTCCAGCACGCTCGCTGCCCCAGGGCTCGCCGCATCTGCTGGGTCGCGCGGGTGCTCCCTTTCTGGGTACAACGAAGAACCACAACCACCACTAAGTGGATTTGTCGGGAGGACCCCTCGGTGAAGAACCCACCGACCTCGACATGATCACTTTGGTTGTGGTTTTGGTCAGTTTGGCAGTCCTGGGGCCCCACAACGACCACAACCAGTACCAAGCTTGTTTCGGTGTTCTGACGACTCTTGGCACGCGCAAGACATCCCCCAGGGTGTGTCCTCGATGTGGTTGGGGTCGCTTGCTGTCCCCGCATTCCCCGCCCCATTCACCATGAATAGCCCAAACTGTCGGCGGATATGTTGTCCGATCGCGTCGGTTTCTTGCATTCCCTAAGCAGCTCGCCTGCAAGGGTCCTGCATATGTGTCCCCTAGGCAGCTTGTCTGTCAGGGCCCTAAACATCTATCTGAGGTCGCTTGTTGCCCATGGTTTCCCAAGTAGTCTCCCGTAAGATTGGTCTCCCGTATCGTCCTCTGCATAGTCTCGCACATCCTCGGTAAACTATGCTACTTCCTTTTCTATGAAAATGATGCTGTTTATGGCCTTCAGCACTACTCCCAGAGAAGGAGTCCTGTGGCCTCGGACTGAAAACGATACCGCCAGATGTCTCGTACAAAGGGCGGGCGGCGCGCACAAAGGGTGGGGCGAGGGGGGCGCGGTCCAAGACGAGAGGGTACCCCTCGGAAGGGGCCACTGGGCTTCTTGGAACAGCAGCGCCTAGAGAGCAGGAAAGCTATCTTGAAGAGGCACACCCCGCCTTCTCAGAAGGACCCCCCCACCCTGCGCCGCCCCCTCCTGCGCGTCGCCAGGAAGAGCCCCTGAGGGCAAGTGGCCCTGCGACCCGAGGTGTTCCTCGCCGCTTCCGCCCTCCCAGGACTCCCTTCCCCGGGGGGGCCGTGGGTCGTGCGGCATCGCGCCGCATCGCCGATGCACCGGCGATGCGGCGCAACCTGGAGCCCGTGCTTCTCCACCCCGCCGTCGCCGATCGGTGATGGACGCAGTCCAGGCCTCGGAAAAAAAATTGCGAACACTCATGCCACATTCATCTGTGAACGCCTCCCCCTCCCCCCAATGTTCAAAGTTGGCGGTGGGTCTGAGGAGTTGCACCTCGACCGCAGTCTCCCCCGCGCGTGCCAACCTTGAGTTTGGGGGGCAGGGGGGGTGTTCACTAATTGTTTCCCTCCACCGTCGGGCACCACCCGCGCGACCAGGTGGACGGCGCAAACTTCAACGCGCCCCCCTACTCCCGATTCGCTGTTGGTCGGCATCGCCAGCGGGGCGCAGGATTTCGGTGAGTCGACGGATCGACACGTCGCGGCGCAGCCCGCCGGAATTACAGGGGGGGCGCGGGGGGCGTTCACAAAGGCAGCATAAAGAGGTGCAGGGCTGTGCCCATCCACCGATCCTCCGACCCCATGGGTGCAGAAGCGACGGCCGGGCCGCCGCTGACTGCCGCCGCCAGCGGGCCGGCCCGGGCCCGTCCTGCTCGCGACGGGCGTGCCCTGCTGCTTCGTGGTGGGGCTGCTGGCGCTGCTCTCCGCTGTGCTGGACCGTTCGGATGCAACTCCTGGCGTGTCAAAGTCAGAATCGGCGCTGGTATACTCGAGGTCGAAAACCCGCCTAATTCGGCATAGACCTGCCTAATTCCGCTCAGCCCGGCTAAATCTGGCCCAATCGGGTTTAATCCTGAGCCTAGTCCTACCGAGTCCGACGCTATGGGACTATGGCGCCCCAATCGGGCTGAATCGCCCTTGATGGTTCTTACAACGACCTGCCAGGAGTTGCCTCCTAAGGACCTGGACCTGACGCCGAAGTCCTTCGCCTGCGACGTACTCCCAGCTCCGGGGAGGGCAGCGGGTGGGGGGGGCGTGGGTTTCAGGAGCGCTCTGCTCAGACATTCAGCGTCTTGGCAACAAACCAAGGCGAAGGCTTTTTCTCTCTCTAATCTGAGGCCGTTTTGCCCGTAGATGCTGCCAAGTCTACTTGCATGGAGGGTGGGGTGACGAGGCCCGAAAGGAAGTTTTGTCTTCACGCAAGCCGGGACTCACTTGCGCGCCTTTTCGGCCCAGCGCTGTTGGAAATGCCGGCGGAGGGGGGGGGGGAATGCCTTGCAAGGAAACATGCCAGAGTCCAACGGAAACAAAAACGCTCTTTCGCCCTCTGGGGACCCTCGACGTGCCCAGGATTGTCAAGAAACGAGCCGGGATGAGAAACAAAACCGGCCTTGGGGCCAGGGTGGGAACTTCGGGGGGGGACCCGTCATGATTTTTCAGGACGGCTAGACAAAAAGCAGGGCGTCGAATGCCTGGGTGGAACGTCCGCGGTGCCCGGTACATCTTCCAGAAAGGCCGGATCTCAGAGGTCCCGGATTGGTGCCGTTCGATGTTATGTTCCAGTCCTGGCCTTGTCTTAACTTAACGGTAGCCCCAGAATGAATCAGAAAGGGAGGGCCTCCCCGCCCGCTCTCGGGGCGGAACGGTTCTCCCGGCGGCGAACGATTTAGATTCTACCCTGAAGGCCTATCTGTGGAAAGCAGCGTGGACTCACGCTGCCCGGAAGCGCAGCCTGCCCCGCCCCCTGCTCTCCTCCCAGAAGACCTGGAGAACGAGATGCACCTCGTCTGAGGCCGTGGGCGAAACACCGAAACACACACACACACACACACGCACACACCCCCACACACACACGCACACACGCACATGCACACGCACACGCACACACACAGGCACACACACATACACACATCCGTGTCCGCGGCCTCGCAGACCGCGACCCCACAGATACGGGGCTCTTTGTTCGCAGATGCCCCGCGCGGAACTCATCCGTGCGACCGCGTGTCCGCGGGATCGTGCCCCGGAGTCCAGACCGCGAAGGCGCGGATATGGATATGCGTGCCGCTCGTCAGCGGCGTCCACGTCGGAGTCGGCGTCGTCCTCGTCCTTGTCGTCTTCGTCGTCCTCGTTTTCCTCGTCGTCGTCCTCGTCGTCGTCGCGACGAGGCACGCAGCGCGAGGCGGCCCGCAGCTCCGGGCTGCCCGCCGCGGCGAGACGCGGCTCCATGCTCGCCGCGCGCGCGCCGCGGGCGCGGGGCGGCAGCCGCCGCGGCACCCGCGGCGTCGTGCAACCGAGGGCCCCTCCTCGGGCCCGTCCAGGGGGCCCTCTCCAAAGCACCCTCGCGTCGCGGCAAAACTCGCGACGGCGGTGTTTGGCCGGTGCCAGCCTCTGGAGGCCCTCACCAGGCCCGGGGACCGTCCAGAAGCAACCCGGGATGGAAAGCCGGGCCCGCGATCAGGGCCAGCCACGCGCAGAGGGGGGTACACGGGGAGGGGGGAAGGCTTCTCAGAAGCATACCTGCTTCTTAGAAAGCGCGGGCCTTGTCTATGGATGCAGGGCTGTCGCCTTGTAACAAGCACCCCTCCTCCTAAGAAGCTTTCCCCCCCTGCCCCATGCCCCCTTGTGCGCGCCGCCAGCTGTGGCCCCAGACATCCGGCGCCTCGATTGGTTCGAGACATGCGGGCCCCCGACCTCTCAGCCACTTCCCCGGCAGCGGTGTTTCATCCTGGTCCCGAGGCCCGGTGAGGGCCCCGAGGTCCTAGGGGATCGATCTTGGCCGGCTTGACGAGTACCTCCAGGACCCTCATGGGCGCCTCCAGGGTGAACTTGCTGCCTTGCATCTCCGCCCATGTGCGCGGGCACCCGTGCGCTCGGGCGACTGGGTGGTGGTGCGCGAACGGCCGAGAGCCCTGACAAACCTCCGTTCCGAGTTTTTGTCCGCAGCGCCGGCTGTCTGGGGCCCGCGGCGCGGCGAGGCCCGCGCGGGGCGGGCGTTCGCCAGGCTCTGCCGGCAGCCGCCGCGGCGCCGCGGCGCCGCGCATCCGAGGGCTCCTGTGGCCCGCGGGGCACTGGCGGCCAGCCCGCGGCGGAGGCCGCGCGTTGCGGCGGATGGCACGGAGCGGGCGGTCTCGGGACTCTGCCGGCGGCCGCCGTGCGCCCGCGCGGCCTCTCAGCGCCCTCTGAGAAGGGAGGGCCCTCTCCCTCTTGGCATGGGCCCGCCGTCGTCGTCGTCGTCGTCGTCGTCGTCGTCGTCGTCGTTGTCGTTGTCGTCGTCGTCGTCGTCGTCGTCGTCGTCCTCGCCCTTCGTCCCAGGCCAATGTTGCATGGCCCCGGGAACCACAAACGCCCGGCCCTCGGGCGGGCCCATGGCCAGGACCAGTCAGTCCAGAGCGTTCTGGAAAGCTCTCAGGGCCCTCTGGAGCGCGCCGGCACGGCCGCCGCCCAATACAGCTTCCAGAGCCGCCAGATTTGAGAGATTCCCGATATATCCTGGTCCGCCGCTTTTTCCCTCGGTTCTGTCGTTGTTGTCATCCCGTGTCCGGTGCCAGCTCCAATCCCAAAGCAGGTTGCAGCATACCCGTTCTCATGGTTCAGAGACGTGCTGCTGAAGCGGGCACCACAGGAAACGGCCCTGCCGCTTCCCGGGCCCACTGAGCTCCCAGCGCCCTCTGGGAAGGCGCGAGCCCCGACCACGGGTCGGATCGGGAGAGGCACGATCGGAGGAGCACGGCAGGCCGGTGCCGGTCCTTTTCCCTCGGTGTTCGCTTTCTTGGGGCCTCCTGAGGGGAGCCCCGTCGCCACGGATTCGCTCCGCAGTCCTCGCCGGCGAGTGGGCTGCGTGCGCACGATGCCCCCCTCAATCGTGATTGGGTCGTTGGGGTTAATCTTATGTCGGGCGTGTCCCCCTACAGGGGGAGTGTCGATGAAAAATAGAAAATACCCCACAAATTTTCCGAAACGGTTAAAAAATAGTCAAAAAATAGTCCCCAGACTATTTTTGGATTATTTTTTATTATTTGTGGGGTATTTTTTATTTTTCGTCGAAAATCCCCCTGTAGGGGGACAGGCCCGACTGAAGGTTAATGTTGGGGGTCGACGTTTCACTGTCTCCCGCTCTGGTCGCCAGGGGGGCCAAGGCAGGGGTAAAAAACGTGGTGCCCATAGGCTGGAGTTTGACCCATGGCCCCTCATATCTCCACCCCCACGTAGAAATCCTGTGAGAGCAGGGGTATGGATCAAGCGCCGCTCGCCTGTAATACGCTGACCTCTTGGAGCCCTGGTTGAGCCTCTTGGATCGCTCCTCAGGCTCTCTTGGGACTCTGTCGGGAGCCATGGTTACCCTCCTGGGGCCATCCCGCCAGAAGCCATCGACTAGAAAAGGGGGCGGTACAAATTGTCTTTTAATGTCTCCCCTTGCAGCCCGAACGAAAACAGCCTCCGGGGGCCTCGTGGGATGCTCTTGGGAGCTTCTGGGCCTCCCTGAGGCCCTTTGTGCTCCTCTTCGGGGCCCTTCGGGCCATCTCGGGCCATCTAGAGTCTAGAGAGGTTTGGAGGCTTCTCGAATCTCGCAAATGTACGATCGCTTCGAACACTATTTTCTGTGGGATCTGTTGGATGAAGTCTCGACAAGTCACTCGGCATCTCGGGATCATGTCTGTGGGGCTTCGGGCCAAGTGTAAGCCATGATGGAGGTCACCTTAGGAAATCTGTTCCACTCTTGGTACGTCATCCTGGTCTATCGTAGCCTGTCTTGGCGCCATCTTGAGCCACCGCGGACACTCCAATCCCTCTCGACCAGGGGGTCCAAATCCCAGAAAGGGGATCGAAGGACAACCTTCACTCCTGGAAGACCTGATGCGCTAAACCACATACGCCTAGAGTGATGGTGGCATTTGTGACTGTGGAATTACGTTGTGGTCGCAGGTCATGTGCACAGAGCTCCAGACGGAGCCCTGCGCAGCATTATGTGGGGCCATCCCCCGATGGGATGGGCCCACAATCTACAAGGCGACGCCCCCCGTCGCTGTTGCATTGTGATGTTCAGTTCTTTGTTTCAGGGGACTGTAGCTGACGCGGCATCACGGCAGAGCGTGGACGGATTCGACCGAGAGCGAGCGGCATGGCAGGCGAGCTGGATATCGGTGTGAAGGGTCAACAAAAGGAGAGAGTGCATTGTCTATAGAACGTACCACCCCGGGTTGTAGAGAAGCCCCCGATCGGTTTGTATGCATTGTGTTTCCTGGACATCTCCCGAGATGTCGCCGATCCTCGTGAAGTCTGTTGCGGTGCACGCGGTGTCGGCCCCGAAGGCCGAAACAATTATTGTGGTCACGTCAAACAAGAATTCGGCTTGGCCGCAGGTGCCCCACGGCAAATTCTTATTCCCCAGAGGCCCCAAGGACACACAGAAGCCTTGTGGCACCTCAGGGCCCTCAAAGATCGACGAAGACTGTGCCTCAAGATGTCATATACTTCGCAGGCTTTGTTAGTGTATGTGCCTACGATATACACCACACCTTGTATGAGTGGGGCCTCTGGGAGTTAACTCCTGGTACGGTGCTTGAGTGCTGTTCTTGCCTGACGGGAGAGCGTGCGAAGGAGCCACCAGTGCTACAACCACTTCCACTTCGCCGTCCAGAGCAACTAGGGCTACAACCACTTCTACTTCGCTGCACCGCGCGGGGAAAGCGGGCGCTATCAAGACACATGTGCGCCGTGCGAACATTCCTCTGGAATACAACTGCTCATCTGGACGTGCCCACCCGTCCAACTGGTCACATGAGAAACGTGAGTTCTGCTGTTCTGCCATTGGCGTAGGATGCAAGCCGACTGAAACAACAGTGACGAGCACGTCCACCTTGACAGGCACATCTACCCCGACAGACACATCCACCCTGACAGTCACATCGTCGGAGACCGCCATCACCGAAACATCAGGGACACTGACGAGTGTCTCTACGACTACGAGTCTTACGACGTTGCCTTTTAATTGTTCAGCTGGGGCCAGAAATATGGCCGCAGGATGGTCGGCTGCAAAATTGGTTTGGTGTTGCAAGCATGAGGGTACGGGCTGTCCAACCACAACGACGACAGCTTCAAGTACAACGACAAGCTTGACAGAGACAAATTCAACTTCCATCACGACTACCACTACTGGCACCGAAACTGCCACCAGTGCGTCCATGACCAACACAAGCCATACAATATAGCGGCCTGCGGCCACTCCTGCAATCTTGCCTTGGTCGTGGACCAGGCAGGGGCCTCTTGGAGTCTCTCGGGTGGCCTCTGGGCTGTCTCTTTGGTGCCTCTTAGGGCCTCTTGGGCATCTGGGGGCTTCTTGAGGGCCGTCCTGGGGGAGAGACTTTCAGCAGTCTGCGCGCCTTTGAACTTCTTTGTTGCCTCCTGTCCTGGAGGCCTCCTGGCCTCATCTCGGGTGCCTCGGAGACCGTCTTGGGATAGATTGGGAGCCTTTTGAGCCGTCCTGGACTCCAGTCATGGCTGGAGCGCAAGACTTCTGAAAGTCGTGTAAGACGCTGCGGTATTCTGCCGATTCGCCCTTCGTCTGGCTTCAACGGCTTCCGCGTCAGCACGTGAGGGCATTCTCGAAGTCTGGGTTCAGAACCACGCTTGTGCGGCTTCCGGAGAAGTTGCGGGAAGGGCCAGGAGAGCGTTGTGAGTGGGGTTTTGGGGGTATGGCCCGTTTTGGCGATAGAATTTTCATCACCATTGAACATAGAGGGTTGTAGGTCCTGAGGACATTTATTTCTCCCAGTGCACGAGGCAGGGTGGCGGATTACGATTACTGCCACTCGCACATCTAGTGCCACCAGCGCGTCCATGACCAACACAAGTGGTACTAGTGCAACTCTCACGTATACAAGTGGTACCAGCGCAACTCTCACAAACACTACGTTCTCAAGTGCCACCGTGACGTTTACCATAACGGCCACAACTCAAACTAGTGCCACATTTACCTCCAGCATTTCAAGCACGACTTTCACCAACACTTCGACTACAGCTTTGCCATACGATTGTGTCGTACAGACATCGGGCCAGGAAGTGAGCTGGTCTCTCGCGCAGAAAGCGTGGTGCTGCGCCCGAGAGAAGGTGGGGTGTTCCCGGCCGACAGTCACGGCCACAACCACCATGATTTACGATTGCACGGTTGGGTTTATGCATTGGAGCGAGCTTTGGGATGGAGGGTGGTCAATTGGGCAGAAGACGTGGTGTTGCCAGCACAAGGGCGTTGCATGCCAGAATTCGTCGAAACGTGCACTTTCTCAGGAGGACGCGCCCGCTTCGTTCACCAGCCCCACCTCCACAACCACCGCGCCCTCCCCGACGACCGCGGCACCTCTGTTCAACTGCTCCGCCGGCGTCCTGAACTGGCGGCGCGAGTGGTCCGACGGCAAGAAGTCGTGGTGCTGCTCGGCCTCCCACGGGAGGGGGGGGGGGAGGGCGGCGGGGCATGCGGACCTCTGCTCTTCGGTCGGCCGCCGTCCCGCCGCCGTGGTGTCTTTCCTCTGGCCCTCGCTCGCTCGTCCTCTTTCGGGCCCTCGTTCGCTCCAGTGCTGCTGGGAGGTGGCGCTCGACTCCAGCCCACATCCAAAGCAAAGGCCGGGCACTCGGTGGTGGTCGCGGCTCATCCCTGGTCGGGGCATAGCTTTGTCTGGGGACCTTCCGTGGTGGGGCGTCCCAGAGGGGGCCTCAGACTCGAGGGCCGAAGGGGTCGGCGGCTCTGCCTGTGCGGAGGGCGGCGGAGGGCGGCGGAGGGCGGCGGGAGTAGGAAGGGGACGGCCCTACCGGTGGAAGCTGGCGTAGGCATCATACACGGGGGGTACTATAGTTTTGAACATGAGACGTCAGCCTTCCGACCCCCCCACCCCCCCGTAGAATCTTAGCGACAGGTTTTCGGTTGGGCAGCGGTCCGAAGCCGATGGGCTCGCACCCCGTAATAATATTTAATGTGTATATATATATATATTAAAAAATCGGTGTGATAATCGCTCCGTCCCACTACAAATAGGCTGGGAGATCATTCCGACTTGG